GCCAAGGGTTTTGAAAAGCTGCGCTTCACCTACTGTCCGTCCCAGTTCCTGAGCCAGCTTCTCACTGCCTGGTTTCTGAGCTAATCTTCATCTAGCCCAATGATGCGTTAGGATCTGCACTCCCATCCGAGGTTGGGGTCAAGACCGTGGCTGGCGTCTGGCAGGTGAAAGGCGTGTCCCTATCCCAAGCTGCACCCTTAACACTCCCACTCTGCTACCCAGCCTTGTTCCTCTGTTTTGCTCTGATTTTGCCTCGAGGTTGATACCCCAGCCTGAGTATCATCCTGACTGGGGCCCAGGCCACCTTCCAGTCCTTTCCCATTTATCTATCCCCAGCCATTGGATGGACGGATTCAACCTGGATCCTGCCCACCGCCCCACCTCCCAGCCCAGCACTGTGACGCCCACCCCTGCTATGCAGGCGGAACCTTGGGCACTGATGCCATCTGAGACTGAGTCTAAATAGCCAGGTCCCCTGAGCATCGTAATCGAGATTCTTGGTTTATTTCTTGAGGCCAGTCCAACTCTAACACTCTCTTGTGAATTTCTCTGCCTGATCTGATCTTGGCAGCTCCTCTGTGAGTCTCATCAAGTTATGCATGTTGGTTCTAATCCTCCATATTGGTCCTAATTCTAGCCCACGGGGCCATGTGTATGAAGCTCTTCATAGATTTGAAGATGCTCACTGTTTCGATTTTCTCTTGCCCCCTAACAAACCACCCCGTCTCTGCACAATGACAGTAACTTTTATTGCTAATGATCTTGCAGTCTGGCCAAACTCAGTGGGGGGAAAGCTTATTTTTGCTCCATGTGGCCAGGGTAGCTTGCTGAAGTAAGGATCTATATCCAAGTGGCTCACTCAGGTGGGCTTGCAGGGAGCGCCGTGGGGCTGCTGCCTGGCCCCTCAACGCTGCTCTGTGTGGGCCTGTCGTTGTGGCCACTTGAGACTCCTTCTAACAGGGTGGCCGGGTTCTAAATAGGAGGGAGTGGAAGCTCCACATTCTCTTGGTCAAAGTCGTCGTAGAGTGATCCCAGATTCAGGAGGGTAGAAATACAGCTCTATCTTTTTAAAAGGATGATACAAATACTTTTTATTAAATACATTTCCCATGACTTACAAACTTCCATTGGAAACAATTTTCCTGTGCCATAAATAGGTATTGTAAATGTATAAATATTTAAAAGGATTAGTACCTAGAATACATAAAGGACATTTGAATAAATGAAATAAAGTAAAAAAACCAATAGAAAGTAGTGCTTAGAAGGTATGACTGTAAACTTGGAGAAGAAGAAACCCAATAGTGAATGAAGTATATGAAAGATGTTGAACTTCATAATAAGTAATTTGAATTAAAAGAAGATAACATTTCAGGGCTGTCAGATGTCATATATTTTGATGATGATGTTAATTTTGTATGTTGGCCAGCATATGGAGAAAAAGGCCCTGACGTCATTGCAGTAGAGAGAAGTAAGCTTGTAAAATACTTAGTCATTATGCTGTACACCTCAAGCTAATGTGTCATATATTAATAACAACTCAATTAGAAAGAACATTTGTGAAATACTTTACAGGCAGAATTTGCAATGTCTCATTTAAAGATCATTTCAAAATGCTCTAAAACCCTAACTTTTATTCCTAAGTATATGCCACAGAGAAATTCCTGTGTGTGATAAAAGAGACATGTTGTAAGCTCCACTTCTTGATGTAGGGACTGGACAAACGTCTTGCAGCCGCTTGCAGTCTGCCATGTTCCAAAAGGCTCCTCTTAACCTTGCTCTCCCGCGTCAGCCCACATCCCATTCCTCTAGTCTTCTCTCAGCTTCAAAGTCCTTGTTGCTTTCGGGCGACCTTCAGTTCAGTTCAGTTCAGTCGCTCAGTCGTGTCTGACTCTTTGCAACCCCATGAATCGCAGCACACCAGGCCTCCCTGTCCATCACCAACTCCTGGAGTCCACCCAAACCCATGTCCATTGAGTTGGTGATGCCATCCAGACATCTCATCCTCTGTCATCCCCTTCTCCTCCTGCCCCCAATCCTTCCCAGGATCTAGGTCTTTACAAATGAGTCAGCTCTTCACATCAGGTGGTCAAACTATTGGAGTTTCAGCTTCAACATCAGTCCTTCCAATGAACACCCAGGACTGATCGCCTTTAGGATGGACTGGTTGGATCTCCTTGCAGTTCAAGGGACTCTCGAGAGTCTTCTCCAACACCACAGCTCAAAAGCATCGATTCTTCTGTGCTCAGCTTTCTTCACAGTCCAACTCTCACATCCATACATGACCCCTGGAAAAGCCATAGCCTTGACCAGATGGACCTTTGTTGGCAAAGTAATGTCTCTGCTTTTTAACACGCTGTCTAGGTTGGTCATAACTTTCCTTCCAAGGAGTAAGCGTCTTTTAATTTCATGACTGCAGTCACCATCCGCAGTGATTTTGGAGCCCCCCAAAATAAAGTCTGACACTGTTTCCACTGTCTCCCCATCTATTTCCCATGAAAATGATGAGACCAGATGCCATGATCTTAGTTTTCTGAATGTTGAGCTTTAAGCCAACTTTTTCACTCTCCTTGTTGACTTTCATCAAGAGGCTTTTCAGTTCCTCTTCACTCTCTGCCCTAAGGGTGGTGTCATCTGCATATCTGAGGTTATTGATATTTCTCCTGGCAATCTTGATTCCAGCTTGTGCTTCCTCCAGCCCAGCATTTCTCATCATGTACTCTGCATATAAGTTAAATAAGCAGGGTGACAATATACAGCCTTGACATACTCCTTTTCCTATTTGGAACCAGTCTATTGTTCCATGTCCAGTTCTAATTATTGCTTCCTGACTTGCATACAGGTTTTTCAAGAGGCAGGTGAGGAGGTCTGGTATTCCCATCTCTTTCAGAATTTCCCACAGTTTACTGTGATCGACACAGTCAAAGGCTTTGGCATAGTCAATAAAGCAGAAATAGATGTTTTTCTGGAACTCTCTTGCTTTTTTGATGATCCAGCGGATATTGGCAACTTGATCTATGGTTCCTCTGCCTTTTCTAAAACCAGCTTGAACATTTGGAAGTTCACGGTTCATGTATTGCTGAAGCCTGGCTTGGAGAATTTTGAGCATTACTAGCGTGTGAGGTGAGTGCAATTGTGCGGTAGTTTGAGTATTCTTTGGGATTGTCTCCTTTCTTTGGGATTGGAATGAAAACTGATCTTTTCCAGTCCTGTGGTCACTGCTGAGTTTTCCAAATTTGCTGGCATATTGAGTGCAGCACTTTCCCAGCATCATCTTTCAGGATTTGGAAAAGCTCAGTTGGAATTCCATCACCTCCACTAGCTTTGTTCATAGTGATGCTTTCTAAGGCCCACTTGACTTCACATTCCAGGATGTCTGGCTCCAGGTGAGTGATCACACCTTTGTGATTATCTAGGTCATGAAGATCTTTTTTGTACAGTTCTTCTGTGTATCCTTGCCACCTCTTCTTAGTATCTTCTGCTTCTGTTAGGTCTTGAACAACAATAATTATGGTCACGCCAGAAATTGAGATAGGTCCTGGTGATGCTGAGATGACTGAGACATTGTCCCTCTCCTCTTAAGGGCAGGGGAAACATGGATTTAAAAACACTTCCCCCCTTCTCTGATCTAGTTTTAATCCTCCCTCCACTGCAGGTATCCTGCCAAGAACATAACATAATACTTTAATTTAAGCCTATTACAGAATATAAAACAAGGTATTCACCTCCTTTCTATAAAAACCTACATCTTTCTTGATACAAACCAAGGTCATGCTCACTTCCTGAAAAGTTACACTGTGTTGTTAACTGACCGTGAACTTATTATTGACTACGACTTTAAGGCTTCCTTTGCTAATGTCCTGTTGGTATGGCATGGCACTGGTATCTTATACTCAGAAAGTTGACTTTTGGACTCCATTTATCTACTTAATATTGAAAGCTGTCCTTGTCAGGTTTAGACTTGTTAGATCTATTGTTCAGCCTATAGGATGATGTAGATTGTCATCTCTTGCCTAACACAGCAGTGTTCAGTCAACACAAGGGTGATGTTTGTGCCCTTAGGTTTTCAGGCAAATAACTGATGACAATGTTAAGCAGACTGAATGCAGACCCTGTGATCTGCCCCTGGAGGCCTTCGGGGCGACACAGGAACCGCCACCCGGCTCTCAAACTGTTCTTGCCCCTGGCGGCAAAACTTCCTCTGATCCAACGGTGTACTGCGAAAATAGCTCTCCACGTACCTGCTGAAGTCCAAGCACGTTGCAGCTACGGCACATCCCAGATCTTGAAGCCCAGGAGCCCTGCTGGGGAGGAAGAAAACTATCAGGCGCAAATACAACATTTTCTCAATGCAAATATATTGTGTCCTAGTCAGATCTACTCCTTTTCTAGGCTCTTAACTGACTTAAAAATATCATTTTGTGTTTTCATGATGTCCTTTTTGAAAATTAGTTTGATTGAGGTTATAATTCACGAACAACAAATTACACTCACTTAAAATGTATAATTTGGCGTATGTTATCACTTATATGTGGAATCTAAAATGTGATGGAAATCAACACATCTACAGAACAAAGACAGACTCACAGATGCAAAGAACAGGAGGAGGGGTGTGAGGGAGGGATGGAATGTGAGTTTAGAATTAGCAGATGCAAACTATTACATATGAGACGGAGAAGTAACAAGGTTCTACTCTAGAGCGCTTCTACTCTAGAGCGCAGTATAGAGCTATACTGCAGAACTATACTCAATATCCTACAGTAAGCTGTAATGGAAGAGAATGTGAAAAAAAAAATATATATATATATATATGGCTGAATCACTTTGCTATGTAGAAGAAATTAACTAACTTTGTAAATCAATGATACTTCAAGAAATTAAAAATATTAACTATATTCTTTGATGCATTTTGACAGATTTATGAGATGTGTAATTTATGAGATATATAATTCAAGAGATGTATAATCGTATGCGAATGTGTAAGTTGATGCGTTTGGACGTACCATTGAAACCACCCCCATGATGGAGCCACAGGACATTTCCACCACCTTCCAAGGTCTCCTCTTGTCCTTTCTCCATCACTTTTCTCTTGCATCCCTGGTCCTCAGGCAGACTCTGGCCTCCTTTCTGTCATCATAGGTTACCTGCTGTTCCTCAAGGGTGTTACAGATGTAATTTCACAGTGTCTACTTTCTTGTGTCTGGCTTTTTCACTCAACACAATGGTTCTGAGACGTGTCCATATCGCTGCTCTCCCAGGACTGTGTTCCTCTGTATTGCCAAGTGGTGTCCTGTTGCAGATACCTGTTGGTAGACGTTTTTCTAGTTTTGAGCTCTGACGAGTAGTTGTTTAGAATATTCATGTATGAATCTTGGTGTGGATGTGTGGTTTTATTTCTCTTCTGTACCTAGATGACTTCTCCTTTTTAAAAATTTTCATTTTGTTACTTCACAGATTCTTCCTACCTGGAATTACCACCACCATTCTGCAGTTTTAAAAACCTAACTTATGGCCTATTTTGGAAACTGCAGCAAAAGTTATCCACTTCCAACCTTCTGGAATATCTTGATAGTTCCTCAAAAAGTTTCCATGTACAAGTTCTCTCAACTCTTGGAATATAGTTCCATAACTTAGAGAATGTATTCTCTTTTGGTAACAGATTTTGGCATAAATTTTCCTGAAAACTTAATGTGTCAGACTAAGCATTTTATGTACATTATTTCATTTTTGGTTTATAACCATCTTATAAGAGAGATGCTACTTTATTTTTTAGCAGATGAAGAAACAGAAGCATAGAGAGATGATGTAACTTGGCTAAATTCTGACAGCTGAGCAGATAAGTGGTCTGAAGCTAGTGATTCTGGCTGGAGCTGGAGTCAAAACCATTTCACAACATAAGATAGATAGTGGTGATTATGATAAAAAACTGGGCGTTCAGCGTGGTGAGTGTTTATAACACAGGAATATCACTCTGGGTGAGGACAGAGGGAAACTTTCTTGACAGGGAGGTGATGGCTGAAGTGGGTTCTGAAAGCTGGGATGGATTTGGTCATGGTGAGGTGGGGACAAACTGGTATAAAATTCAGATACACAGGCAATATAATCCGAGGCTTAGGGGCAGAGGTGGGGGCACCAGTGAGCTGCCTCAGTGCAGAGAACTCTGGATGACCGGACAAGGGAAAGGAACTTGAGCCCAAGCTTGCTCTGTTTGTGCCCAACAGGCCAATAAATTGGGAGGTGAGGTTTTGGGGCAAGGAGCAGGGACTTTAATCAGAAAGCTAGCAGACTGAGAGATGGCCGACTAATTTATTAAAAAAAACCACCCAAAAAAACATATTCCCTCAGCCTGATTTTGGGCTCCTTTTATGCAGAGGAGGCGGGGTGGGAGGGGCCCACTGCATCACCACCCAGCAGCTGAGTGGGACTGCTAATGGTCGCTCCCTGGCAGCCAGCTGCCTGCCCTCCCCTCATTATAAGATCTTAATGGACAGATCTTAAACATATATTTTGATGAATTCTACAAATGTATACATGCATGTAACCTCGCCTGAATGAGATAGAAGACTTCTCATCATCCGGAATATGTGCTTTTTTCAGACAATGCTACACCACTCCCTGACCCCCTCCTCCACTGTTCTGATTTATCACCATAGACTGGTTTCGACTGTCCTAGAATGTGCCATAAATGGAATCCTGTAACATGTACTATTGTGTGTATGATGTTTTCTGACCTAACAGCGTTCTAGAAATGTGTCTGCAGTGGTTGCACAGATCTAGGCTTCCTTCCTTTTTACCGCTGAGGTGTTTTCTGGTGTCTGAATGCACCATTGTTTGGCCAGCCTCCTGTTGGTCTGGGTGGTTTCCAGTCTGGGGCCGTTATGACTAGAGCTGCTTTTTGTGTGGATCTTTTTGTGGCCATATGGTTCTATTTCTTAGACAAATAGCTTGGAAGCCATGGCTGGGTCATATGGTAATCTTTTAAGAGATGGCTACACTGTTTATCACAGTGTTTAAATTTTTAAAATATATTTTTAGCTTCGTGTGGTTCTAGACATCTTATTCCTATAAAGCCTACCACAAGACTTGATTAAGAATGCAATATTCACGTTAGGCTTACAATAGTATTTTCTGTGACAAGGTGGACTTGGCAATTACAGATGGCTGGCTTAGCCATCAACACCCTTTCCCCCATAATTATGCTATAAATTAGGGGTGACCCTTGAGCCTCTTCTAGTAAGAACTTTGATATCTGGAAGGTGAACACAAAATCCTCCAAGGTGTTCTTAAGTGGTGTCTAAAGGAAAAACATGCCATAATGTCACATAAGTTAATAATTTTAAGGAGCCTGTAGGCTTGGCAGTGGACTTAAATGCTTAACAATAATTCAAAAGTGGCTTAGAGAAACTTAAAAATGTGAATCATTAAGTGGGTCTGAAATTATGCCCCTGACATGTATGTGTGACACACGAGAGCACTTACCTGGGAATTTATTACCAGCTTCTGAGCAAACAAAGCCTGACCTACATTTGACTAAAGTCAGCTGTCTTTGGTTAATCCTATGGGCTTCTTTTTATTAATGACACAGTTGCTAATGTGGTAGAGCATTGTCATTACCGCACAGCACAGCGGGATGAGCTGCAGCTGTTATTCCTCTTTCTGAACCTACCGAGTCATTAAATCTGAATTTGGGAGGAATACAAGTTGTAAAGATTATTCAAATTCTGATTCAGAAATAGGACTACTGGGAAATTGTAGGTACATAAAGTAAAACTTTGAATCAATCGAGGTTCCTTTTTTTTGGTGAAGGTTGAACGTTCAAAATTGTTCCTTACATTTCATTTAAAATGGAATGTCAAGGAAATAGAAGGTGAAGGAAAGAAAATCGAAGAGCAATAATAATTACACACTGAGTCTCTTTTATTGCAGGGAAACTGCTGTATTGTTACTGGGGAAATATTAGGAAGATCATTTTCTTTCAAAAGATCATAGCATTTTAAGAATCTTAATATTAGTTTAACAAGGATATGCTTTTGTCCTAACAAGCCACAGAAGAACTGATTTCTCTTCAATATCTAAGGGAAATTTTGTTGTATTGTTTATAGGTCTTCCTTGCAAAATTTTCTCTTCTTTTAGAATTCTTACTTTGCCTTTGGTGACAATTTGTCCTTTGTAAAGGGTATGAGCCTGTAGTTTCCAAACGTAGTAAAGTTACCTTCAGTTCAGTTCAGTTCAGTCACTCAGTCGTGTCCGACTCTTTGCGACCCATGAATCCCAGAACGCCAGGCCTCCCTGTCCATCACCATCTCCCGGAGGTTACTCAAACTCATGTCCATTGAGTTGGTGATGCCATCCAGCCATCTCATCCTCTGTCATCCCCTTCTCCTCCTACCCCCAATCCCTCCCAGCATCAGGGTCTTTACTAATGAGTCAGCTCTTCGCATGAGGTGGCCAAACTATTGGAATGTCAGCCTCAGCATCAGTTCTTCCAATGAACACCCAGGACTGATCTCCTTTAGGATGGACTGGTTGGATCTCCTTGCAGTCCAAGAGACTCTCAAGAGTCTTCTCCAACACCACAGTTCAAAAGTATCAATTCTTCGGTACTCAGCTTTCTTTATAGTCCAACTCTCACATCCATACCTGATCACTGAAAAAACCATAGCCTTGACTAGACAGACCTTTGTTGGCAAAGTAATGTCTCTGCTTTTTAATATGCTATCTAGTTTGGTCATAACTTTCCTTCCAAGGAGTAAGCGTCTTTTAATTTCATGGCTGCAGTCACCACCTGCAGTGATTTGGGGGCCCAAAAAAAATAAAGTCTGACACTGTTTCTACTGTCTCCCCATCTATTTCCCATGAAGTGATGGGACCAGATGCCATGATCTTAGTTTTCTGAACGTTGAGCTTTAAGCCAACTTTTTCACTCTCCTCTTTGACTTTCATCAAGAGGCTTTTTAGTTCCTCTTCACTCTCTGCCATAAGGGTGGTCATCTGCATATCTGAGGTTATTGATATTTCTCCTGGCAATCTTGATTCCAGCTTGTGCTTCTTCCAGCCCAGCGTTTCTCATGATGTACTCTGTCTATAAGTTAAATAAGCAGGGTGACAATATACAGCCTTGACGTACTCCTTTTCCTATTTGGAACCGGTCTGTTGTTCCATGTCCAGTTCTAACTGTTGCTTCCTGATCTGCATACAGGTTTCTCAAGAGGCAGGTCAGGTGGTCTGGTATTCCCATCTCTTGAAGAATTTTCCAGTTTATTGTGATCCACACAGTCGAAGGCTTTGGCATAGTCAATAAAGCAGAAATAGATGTTTTTCTGGAACTCTCTTGCTTTTTTGATGATCCAGCGGATATTGGCAATTTGATCTCTGGTTCCTCTGCCTTTTCTAAAACCAGCTTGAACATCTGGAAGATCACAGTTCACGTATTGCTGAAGCCTGGCTTGGAGAATTTTGAGCATTACTTTACTAGAGTGTGAGATGAGTGCAATCGGTGGCTCAAAAATGTTCAGTTTTTGAGGCAAGTGTGTGTGTGTGTGTGTGTGTGTGTGTGTGAAGTTGCCTCAGTATAGTAATATTCAATATTTGTTGAAAACCACAAAAACTGTCAGCCCAAGATACTTCACAGTCTTCAGTATGATTGGACTCCATCCCCTTCCAGGCTGTCATATATTCATTTGCTGGATTTTGACAGCTGCCGTGTTAAATAGCAATCACCACCTAAACTCTGAGTGGGCGAGGGTTGTGGTGGTGGTCCAATCTGATTCCAGAGTTGTGCAGGGACTAGGCTGCACACATCGTGATTAATAAGTGCTGGTGGTTATTTAATGATGGGAAAAAAAGCAGGTTTTCTTTCAGCTTATGCACATTATTTTTGAAGTGGCTACTAAATTGTTAGGACAAAAAAAAAAAAAACAAAGAACTTAGGTCAGGAAGATCCCCGGAGAAGGACACGGCAACCCACTCCAGTATTCTTGCCTGGAGAATCCCATGGACAGAGGAGCCTGGCGGGCTACGGTCCACGGGGTCACAAAGAGTCAGACAGGACTGAGCGACTACACACACACTTAACTGCT